CGAGTAAGAGATAATAGACTTCTTACGCAAGCTCATCCCCGAGCTCACCGGTACACGGCTGCGCAAACTTAGGTGGCACTAAGTAGGAGGGTTGGTATCCGGACTAGGCAAACTATTCCACCTTTCTCAGGGTATACAAGTATCTCACCGAGAAGAAATGCTCCGAAAAGCCGGTTGGCTCTGTTCTAAACCTTGCAGCCCGCACATTCTCCAGTCATGGGTGCCGACTCAAACGCGGGGTAGACCCCCTTCGGCCCCGCACGTCGTCCACTGGCCGATGGTTGCCCGAGATATTTTCCCTCTGATTTTAGCACAACGTTCTTGCTGTGGGAGCCATAGCGAAGATCGTTCTCGTGTGGCGCAAGGTACCAAAGTCGCAAGTTCTATTCGTTGCATCTATATCAGTACCTAGTTTTCGTCATCGAGCAACATGCCGCCCCTCCCTGGTTTCTCTGATAACCCACTGAAGTCCCGAGATGACGTGGTGCGGGCCACAGAAGCTTTCCTCAAGCCTCTAATTCAGTATTTTTCTCCTGAAAAGGCAAGAATCAAGCTTCCAGTTGCCACGGGTACTCACTTCGATGAAAATGCGGCCCAACTTGAGGGTTTCGCCAGGCCGTTGTGGGCTGTCGGGGCGCTCTTGATGAGCGACGACCCCGATTGGGAGCTCGCTCAACCTTGGGTTGATGGATTCGACGCTGGCGTTGACCCAGGACATCCGGAATACTGGGGCGATATTCAAGACTATGACCAGCGAATGGTCGAGGCCGAGATGATCTCCTTTGCACTGCTGGCAGCACCTCGACATATGTTGTGGGATCGGCTTCGTCCCGAGACCCGGAAGAACCTCGTCACCTGGCTTTCAAGCATGAATACCAAACTAGTACATCGAGCTAATTGGCTCTGGTTTCGGGTGTTTGGTAACCTTGCCCTTTCACGTGTGTGTAACGTTGATACTCCGGAGGTGCGCGATCAAATCGAGGACGACCTGAAAGTACTCGACACATTCTACTTGGAGGATGGATGGTCCAGTGATGGCTTGTGGAGAACTCCTGGCATAGACGACGAGGAGTATCGGATTTTGCTAGAGACGGGTCGAGCCAACGCGCTTCCAAACGGACGAAATGCCTGTTTTTACTCTGGCAGTTTTGCAATCCAGTTCAGCCAGCTGCTGTACATAAGATTTGCTGGCGATCGTGATCCTGCAAGAGCAGCGAAGTATCAACAACAAGCTCGAGACTTCGGCGCAGGTTTTTGGAGGTTTTTTAAATCCAACGGCGCTGTTATACCTTTCGGTCGCTCACTTACCTACCGGTTCGCCGCCGCCGGGTTCTTTGCAGCCCTTGCTCTCGCAGATGTACCGAACATGCCGGCACCCCTGGCGAGCCCCGGCGCTGTGAAGGGATTTCTGCTCCGCCACTTACGATGGTGGGCTAACAACTCAAAAGATATTCTCTACCCAGATGGGACACTGAACCTTGGCTGGGTCTATCCGTGCGTCGTCACTCTCTTTCACCTACCTGAGAAGCTAACCAATTCTCATTAGAAACATGTATCTTACCGAAGACTACAACTCACCCCAATCTCCTTACTGGTGTCTCAAATCACTTGTGGTGGTTGCACTGTCATCAAATGACGCCTTTTGGACTGACCCTGAAGTGCCCTATCCCAATGTTTCCACGGATTCCGGTATTAAGCTCCTGCCTGCTCCTCGGCAAATCTTCTGTAATCACCCGAGAGGCAACCACCATTTCATGCTTTCAACCGCTCAGTTCATGGGAGTCGCGTTCAAAGGCCACCAGGCGAAGTACTGCAAGTTCGCCTACTCGTCCTTCTTTGGGTTTTCAGTTCCCACAACCCATGCAACACTTCACCAGGTTGCACCCGACAACGCCTTGATATTCAGCCGAGACGGGATGGAAACATGGGCCGGGAAATACAAGTGCGGCGACACAACATACGGGACGGCCGTCGTACACGGGAAAGCAAACGAAGAGGTCGTCTCGGCTACCGTTAAATGGTTTCCATGGGCTGATCGCAGTGTGACGGTGACAACGACCCTTCTCCCCCCAACTCAGCGCTGGCCAGACTGGCATATAAGAGTTCATCACATTAAAGCAGCTGGACCTCTCAGTAGGCTGTTCACACCAGAAGGTGGTTTCGCCATCAGTGGCCGTCAACAACGAAACGCCCGTAATCTGCCTGAGATGGCTGATGATGACTTTAATGACGCCGACGAGCTCGGCCAAGCAGAACTGATTATCATCGGCGCCAACTCAGTCATGATTCTGGGCGAGTCAGGTGCATCTGGAATCAGCGCGGATGTAATCTCGAGTGCATCAATGTCGACCAAATTTTCACCATTAAAGCCAGAGGCCAACACCAACATCATGACCCAGCGCTCTCTGATCCCCATGATGGAGAGCAATATCATAAGCCTGGGCCGGGCTGATGATGTAATTATTGTCACCAAGGTCTTTGCTATCTCAAGCAACGCATGTCTAGTTAGAAATGGCCATGCAAGGAGTCTGAAGCAACGATGGGCAGACCAGCCAAGCATCCGTCTTATGAACACACCTGACCAAACCCAAACCTCGGAGGACTTCATATCGTTGTAAGTTCAAGGTATTAATTTTACCGATATGAGACGAAATGAAGGTATGGATTTCGGTGCATGGTAGTGCGTTCACAAGCCTGTCTGGTTACCGCTATCGCTTTCCTGAATGAGCCACATATCCGACGAGCCTGCATCAAAATCTTCGAGTCGTGTGTTGAACATGATATCGTCGTAGCTCATAATGCGATCCATTTCAGCAAACCCTTCATCCATCAGCACCCTGGATATCGCCGAGAGCTCGTCGCCGGTCGACTCAACAGATGAAGTGTCGCACATGACTGGTGTTACCGAGCTCTGAGAGATATGTCCTGCAATTTGAGATGGTTTGTCTGCCTGTTTAGTCGGTGCCTCGGCCAAAATCTCCTCGTTGATGATCTCTTCGGCGTATTCAAGTAGTGCTAAACGGAAATGAGTGTTACTCTCGCATAGATCGTGAAGTTTGCGAAGACGAGTTGCGAATTGGGAAAACAACGAGCTTCCATAGGATCCCGCCGACCCGAAGTCTCCTGACCAACGCCGACTCATTTCTTCCAGGCTGTCGATAAGAGCCCAGAAGCTACTTGATAGGCCTCCGTCATATTTTCTCCAATGAACTGTTGAACCCATTTGAGTAAATAGAGTAGGTTCCGGGGAAGGAACTTAAAACATACCCAGAAGAATCTTTGCACTTATAAAGCAGCAGAAAGACATATGGGGAGAGACTATGGCTTCAACTGGCGACCCAGCGAGATACTTCCTCACCATATTCGCGTTTTCGACAGCAGCTCCGAGGCAGGTTTCGGCGCTGTAGCTACTCGGCAGCTTGATACTACGCAGCTCGTGTGCTGGGTAAGCGATTCGTTGGTGTAATAGAATCATGGAAGTGTTATGAGTAATGTGGGCCAAAGTCATGTTAGGATCCATGACACCTGGCATTTCTTTACGCGATGTCCCCAAATCCTTCCACTGCTGAGGCAGGAACATCTTCCAGCTACATACGGTTGTCAGCCTAAAAGCTACTTCAGGATGCGAATTATTACTCACTGAACTAAGCGTAGATCCAGTTCTTTAAATCGTGTCAGCCAATCCGAAACCTCTTTTCTGTCACTGAAGTTGACCTTCTGCTGCAGAAAGTAGGTGTTGATCCGACTTAGTGACTCGATGGATTCGATGTAGTAGGCGAAAGCCCCGATACTTGACATATCAACGGGAGCCGATGCGCCAGCCCCTCGAGTCTCAGGGAGTGCCAGATTTGTAACACCTTGAGCATCTACAGTCTTTGAATGCGACGGGCTGGAGTGATGGGTAGGAAGAAACGTAATGGAGTTGCCAATCTTGGCTGAAGAACGATCCCATATGCCCAAGTACGGAGTCACCGCCGGCGTCTCGGCATACCACCGACCACCACAAACAGGTAGCCTTCGACAAACATCAACTGCTGTCAGACTGGCATTGCATCTTTAATCGTCCATTAGAGTCAGCAATTCATGATGCGAGACGCTGCGGGTACAATTGTACTTACCCGGTAGTTATTGAACAAAACCTGTTTCAGGGGCGATGAATTAGCCCTGGATGGCTTGTGAACTCGCCGAAATGTGAACCGACCTGTCCAAAATAAATATGTTCCAGAATACCCTGCGTCGCTCTTCCTCTTCGACCCAATTCCTCGGCCCCGTAAGATGTGGCGAAGGGCGGACAAATGATGAACGCCTTTGCCGGTCTTCATCTTCATAACTGAGCTGCAGGTATTGTACCGCTCCAGTGATCGAGCCAATGATAGGCCAGGCTTTTTCACACTCTCCGTTGCCAATCTATCGGGGTTCGTAAATCTTTGGGCGAGTGGCTTGATGGCTAGCTTTGGGGTGCCTACTTACGTCAGAAAAGGCGACAATTGCCAATGCTTGCAAGCTCTCGACATTGAGGGCGTTCATTGAGGTTGCAATTACAAGATTTCGTGATTTTTGAACTTGCGATATGAGTTCGCTTGGTGCAAATAGTTGGTCCCTTTCCTCAATAAATCGTGACGCCGCAACCAACATTGCGTGCAAAATGACAGATGTACTCGTCTTTTCGGACGTCAGCAATCTCTGACGGAAGCCTGCTTCTTGTAATAGTGGAATCCATGGCTGAACTCGAGTGGAGTATGCGTCGAGAAGCTCTGAAAGCTGGCATGGAAAACCAAGCGTTGGGTCTTCGTCCCCTAGGACTGGTGACTGTATGTGAGCATGACGCTGTTCCTCATATCTTCGTCGCTTATTAGGTCGAAAGGACTCTTGGTCATTGTGAATCTTTCCTCCAATGCTTGGTTGTGGTCCACTTTCTGAAGAGCTCAAATGTGACACGAGACTCGCTCCAATTGTGGAGTTTAGCTTGTTGATCTCAGTCGCAAGAGTAGAGAGAACTCCTACGATCGATGAGATCTGATTATCCACATGACAACCAGTTGAAGCAGCGGTGTCTCGTTGTTGCTGAAGACAGCGTTTTCCACCGCCTCTAGATCAAAGCATGAGCATCTGCACGGTCACGTAGTAGATGCGTCTTGCTTACCAAGTCTTCTATTGAGACTTTCGACGGCGCCGCCCTTTAACCCCGGTTTATTTCGCCTATTCTCATAAATACAGTCAATCTCTGGCTCTGTTAGCATTGCTTTTACTCTGTCGAAGGTCAGATTTCATTGTTGCTCACCAAGCCGTTCGCAGTTCGAGCAGAGCGGTCTCTGGCGGGTGCACTTCAGCTTGCGCCGTCGGCAACCCTCGCATGATGGCAGGTCAACAGCAGGAATGGCTCCATCCGAGTCCGCAGCATTGGGGCCCATGGCAGTCATTTGGAGTCCATCGGACATACATCTAACCATGGAATGCTGGGTGACAATAGCAAGCGGACGTTGACATGATTCAAAAACCTCGGCCCAAGTTGTCCCAGTAGTTGCGGGGTTGTGGGGACGCAGGGCGGGGACTTGGTGACTCCCGAAAGCCCATCGGTGTTCCGGGTTCCGATTCCCTTGAGAAGCGGTCTAGACTTCGACGCCAACCACCAAAGAGTGGCCCAGGATGTCGACTTATATTTGGCATTACGAAGAGTAGGACACGATTCAACGTACGTAGAATGTTCACCGCCAAGTCTGTGATATTCGTGCCTCAGTCCATTTTGCTATACATAAAGTCTTCTTTTCCTTTCTCTAATTACGCCAGAGAAATCCCATCACACGACGTGTATTTTGAATATCTCGGTTATTATCCCATATCATTTTGCCGGGGTTGTTACTTTTAGAAGACACATGGAGCATGAGCAACGAAGATGCCCCAAAATAGCGGACGCAAACGGGACTGACCCCGCCGGCAAAAGCTCTGAGGCGGCAAATTTTCGATACTTGTTCGGAAGAACAGCACTTTGATGGGCGAGGCAAAGCAAGGATGCAGAAATTATAATCTTACTGAGCGCAGCCATTCAATGCGGTTGGCGAAGACTCATCAAAGGTCAAGAGACTTGCCTATGGTCGTGGTCTTGTTTGATACTCCTACATTGTTCTGCCTCCCTCGGCCACTTCAGATTTCCATCCGCCGAAATAAAACCACATTGCGTCGCAGAGATTGTGATAAACAGGGCGATGACGTTGCACCCACAATTGGCCAGCCAGACTGCCCAAAGTGTGATCTAGTATGACTCGTTACTATGAACGCAATGCTGCTTCGCCACATCTTGTGCTCAATGAAGCCACGTCTTAAGGCTGAAGAGCGTAACAATAAGGTTGGGGTATCAATTAATTTGACAGGCGTAAGTGGACCTTAACTTAGAAGCTAGTGTTCCGAGAAGCCGGCAGAGGGTAGCACTGAAGGGTTAAGAGCCGCCATCTTGACAATATTAAGATGGGATAGCAACGTCGTCACGCGTCAACAAGCCATTTCGGGGAAGTTCATAGCCGGACGGAAGGGATTCCCCGTGACTAACGGAAAGAAGGATGAATTATAGATGTTGTGATTACAGCTGAGAAGCCTTTCGCAAGAAATCCGGGAATTATTACGGACCGCGAATGCTTTCGCGACTGGAGTCTTGATGAACTCCGATGAATCCACCGGTAGGCCCATACGTCTCTTCGCAACCGGCTTCGCATCCGGAGGAAGAAGAAGCAGAAAAATCGGCCTATGCGTTCTCCTCAGAGCGGCTGAGCTGCAAAACACCGTGAAGGTGTGAAATTGATTGATTGAGCTCGGGTGTCAGCTGCTAAGTCCGAATGCCCGCCACTTTACAAGGAAAATCAACCGTACAATTGTGAGATACAACACATCTTTACCGGTCGGCCTTGGGACTAAAGAATGTGCGGTGGACGCCATGCGAGTCACGTAGCAAGAGATTCGGTGTGATCCCCAGTATTTGAAACCATAGTGGCCGTGATGCGGGTGGGACTGAACCAGCCCCAACGGCAGCCGTCGATTGTGGCTCCGTCTGTCGCTCTCGCTTTCGCTCCTCACGCCTGTCATGCCAATTCTTCCACGAAATGCCAGCGTTCCTCGATATTCAGCCTTACCGCACACTCATGTGCCGTCAGTTCCCAAATATTACAATCCAACAGCCCAATAATGTTCGAACAGCACGACCGGTATTTAAGAGCTGAGAATGCCCTTCTCTAGAGCTCTCTTGAACCATCAACGGCCGCTCACATCCCAACCAATCGCTTCAGCCAGCTTCTTCAATCATTTTATTCCACCAGTCGCTTCAAAGAAACTCAAACAAAGATGCAGTTCTCTACCACTTTCGCCGTTCTTTTCCTCGCAGCTGCTACAAGGTAAGCAACCGCTTCCTCGATCATCATCACTAGCACAAGCTTTGCTCCCAAACCTCCTGCTATTTCTCATAAAACTGTTTACCAGCTTTCTCCATTGCTGCACGTAGCTAATCAACACTATCTAGCGTTGCCGCTAAGAAGCACACTCAACTCTATTGCACCAACGCCAGTGGCTCTGGACAGTTCATCTTTTCGTTCCCTGTAGGCCATCCACAGGTCGATTTTCTCTATACGTGATATGCTGACGGAAGATTCAGAACGACGACGTTACCAACAAAGTATGCCCTACTTTCTGTTCGGACTGTACGCTCGGCGACAACGACGGGCACCGTGTCTGCAACTCTCCGAGCAAGCAACTTGATGGCGACGGCTTTGCGAGTGCCTGTGTTGCTGCTGGAGCTGATGGCAGCAAGTAAGTGCTTTATCCAGATGTCTACAGGCCTCGCCAGTGGTAGATGAGGGCAACGTGTGGTTCTTGTTCTGGATGTCAAGTCACATAGTATGGGCTAGATCGTGTTTAGATAACATACCATAGCACAAAAATATTGTTTCCAGGTTGTGCTACTTCATTTGATGTGTTTGTACTCAGTTTTCGTGGTGACGGTAGTTTCGTGTCGTAACTCTGGCCAGCTAGATGAGATACGAGCTACCATGGCAAGTGTGTGCTGTAAGTCTAGCCGTATTATGCTCACAAAGTGTCGAATTGTCCATGCCTGGACTTTTCAATGCAGATCCCAGAATATATACCCTCACCCAGAGGATGAGGAGCGTCCTTGGAACCTATCCCCTTTAGTTCTGCCATCCATGTACCAGCTGTTCAGACTTGAAGAAGCACTGTGCACTATCTGTTTCGCTGCCCCGTGTTCTTCGCATTGTAAGGTATGCTGGTCAAACCATCTGGTCGATACTAATACTATACTTCTTTAGGTTCCTATTGGAAAGGCCAAAGGCGTGAGTCAATAAGGCCATTGAGGTCCATTTAAATCTAATTACAAATGTAGAGACGCGAAAGTGTCGTATCAGAGAGACTAAAACGTCCCCTTTATACCTTATACCTCCACTCACTATTAGCTTTCCTAGCTGAAAAGTTGCTGTTAATGTGCTGCTTCATGTCCAGTCTCTTGTTGTGGGCGACAATGAACACCCACGTCACGGATAAAATGCAGAATGCAACGATAACCAAAATCATGCTGATCGTCATCCCTCTCTCGTAGTACGGTCCATCGCTCGTCTTGAAGATCCATGCAGAGATGTAGCTCGACGTATTACCCACTCCCACTACGAAGCCACTTCCGATAGCGCGTTGAAACGGTGTTTGTAGGTTTTGCATGGTCAAGATCCAGATCATAGGGAGTGTGATGAAGGTACCAAAGGCGATGAAGTAGAGAGCCATCATGGTAACACTCGAACTCTCGTGCTGTGCCTTGCGCAAGACCGCGTAGCCAATGATCGTGAATACGAACCCGACGAGGCCGAAAGCTGACCGGTGGTTGAGTCGATCAGCCGCAAAAGCAGTGGCAAGACACGCAACAGCCGCGACAACGAAGATGGGAACGATTTGTGCCTGAATGTCGGCGGCGCTAAGTTCGGGATGAAACGACTTGACAAAGGATGGCGAGAAGATTGAGACCGAGTACGCGGTGGTAGTGGTGAAGCAATAAAGCGTTGCCCAGCAGTAGTTGAGTGGATTCAGGAAGAACATCTTCCACTCAGCCCATATGCCGATCTGAGTGGTGCGGGTTTCGACCGATGCCTCGATGATTCTTTTCTCTTCCTCCGTGAGGAACTTGGCCTTGTGAGGCGGTCCGACATTCGCGAAAGCACAGAGTAAAGCGGCCGCGCCTGTGAAGCTTCCTTCGATGATGAAGATCCTAATTGAATGAGCAAGGAGATCTGATGATGATATGGACACACTACTGACCATCTCCACCCATTGAAGTTGTTCGTCGTCTTGATGTTGGCGATCGCGTACGCGAGAAAGTTACCCACAATGCTCGAACATATGTTTGCTACGGTGATCAAACCAAGCCGCCATTGCAGGTGCTTAGCTGGATAGTAGAGCGAGCAGATGAAGACGCATCCGGGAATGAGTCCTGCGTCAAACACACCGACGAAGAATCGCGTGACTATGATCTGATCGTAGTTCTTGACAAAGCCTTGCGCGATCGTAATGACACCTTCGACGTAGTTAGAAACGGCAATAAACAGGGGAACGAGACTCTGACTGACCAAGGAGCAAGTCCAAAAGACACATGTACCACATGTATGAGAAGTTGATTTTGCGATCCAGCCATCGCATGAGAAGATTGCTTGGAACTTCAAAGAGGATCAGTGGCGCCGCTGGCATGGTCAGAACGACGAAGACCTTCATCGCATCCAGCTTTAGATCCTGTGGTAACTGTCGAATGAGGGCTGCGCCGATATTGGTCCGACCCATCAGAGAGAGAAAGTTGAGGAAGAACATGGCGATAATCAAGTGCCAGTCGAGCTTGTAGAGTAGCTTCCGGTCGAAGACCCTCTTCTCAACCGACGATCCATCATGCTCACTCTTTAGCGAGTCGGTTCTCGACCATCCCGGCTGCTCGATCACGCCGATGCTCGTTCCAATCTCGTCAAATTTCTGGAACTCTTCAATCATTCTTGAATTGCGCTTCGGTCGGTCCTCAATCTCCAGATCGTGATCTTCTGGATTCGGCATCTTGGAGGTGTTGTATATGTATCCCGAGCTCAATGAGAAAGGATCAATCACAAGCCAGGGAGACAACAGAATGCACCTCAAGAGCCCGGCATGTCTTTTTCACAAAACTGCGACATAAGCAACTGCGATGGAGAGTTTAACATCTCAGCCCGGCCTTGGTCCAGTCAGCGGAGTACTGCCAACGCGCCTCAGCCGATAACAGCCTTTGTGCATATTCTGCCACGTCCGTCCGTGAGTCTGCACACTAGGGAAGCTTATCGTGCTCCGGAAGTCTGTACCCAGCACAGACTTCATGTCAGTTAACGGAAACGAGACACTACGCATGCCGGATGTT